TATCGCATGTTTTTCAGAGCAAAGGTGATAATTGGTTAAGAGGGCTTTTGAGAGACTGAACTGACTTCAGCCTCGGCAAAGCGATCCGGTGGGTTTACTCCAGTTTCTCGGTGTGGCTCGTCGTTGGAGCGCTGGGCAAATCCACTCTGGGGTATGTGCTTCCACTGAGTGGGCAGGAAATTATTTATGAGTCAGTGAAGTGGCTGTAAGCTGGAGTGTGTTATAGTGACGTACGTTCATATATTAGCGTGCGTGGAAATTAGTCGTCTTGAATGAAATTCTCATTAATTTCGGTGAGATGTCCATAATTCCTGAGTGCATACACAGCATTTAACGTGAAAGGGAGGAATGTTCTTGTGCAATGAAATCGCTTCGTTCGGTAGCTGATGTACAGAGCCTTAATTTTGTTAAGCAGGCTTCAAAAGCAAGCTTGCTGGTTTTCTGCATTATCAGAAAGAATGAATACTCTTGACAAGAAGGCAGGGAGGTCTGTTCTTGGTAGTTGGTGAGGATGTTGTGCACTTTGCCTTTTGCTTTGCAGAGGTGGCATGCCTGGAAGAGGCTGGAATGGGGGTGCAACTGAGGGGTGCTGCTGGCTGAGAGTGGAGTCAGGTTTTGTTGGATTGCTTGTGAAGCCATTGGGACTACAGCTGACCTCTCTTCGTGTGATTCCTGATGGTTGTTGAGATCACCTCTTCCTCCAAGGAACCAGGTTGTCATGTCGTATCCAGGTGTCAGGGCATTGCTTCCTTGTGCAGCCAATTTATCTTGATGTTGTCTTCTGGGTTTCTTTCAAAACTCTGGTTCAGTGGTGAACCTGATTTTATGGTAATCAAATCTCATTGATGTTAGTGCTCATCTGTAAAGAAGTTCTTTCTCTGTGGACCTCCTTGCTTCAAGTGTTTGCGCCATCGTGACTTTGCTCTATGTGTTTGTGTTTGTTATAGGGCGGTGATAGCTAAGAGGAATAGATCCCGATGAGGTGGTAGATCATCTATATAGTTTAATTAGCATTTCAGACTATTGCCTGCCTTTTGGAATACTAAGGTGTAGGAAGTCATGACTTTAGCTTTAATCTCCGCTGTTTCAGAAGCTATTTGTTCTTCTTTCAAAGGGAAATAAAGGAACCCTGTGATATTTGTGCATGCCCTGTAAGAAAATGAGGTGAAGAGGTATTGCTATTTAATATTACAGAAGTGGGGAAATAAGAAGAGGACCTTTTGGGTACAGGCTTTGACAATTGAATAATAAGCTAGCCTGTATTGCAAATAAATAGATACAGTGATCAGTGGAGATAAAGGAACTATGTGATTGAGAGAAAGGGCCTCAAAATTGGTGATTATATACACTTTGAACATACAGTGCCCGAAAGTCAGACACGAAGACCTGATTTAGGAAATGTTTATATCCATAATTGTTTGGATTGATGAGAGAGAGATGAGTAGGGCTATGACTTAAATATCTGTAGGGAATAATTTCTTCCATTACCTGTCCTCTGATAGCAGACACAGAAGCCAATATTATTTTATTTGCTTTTGATAGTCACTGGGGTGAAGTATATTTGGGAAGGAGCAGCCCATTTCCACTGTGTATCATTTAGCGGGGGGGCTAGGATGACGATTTGCAAACTTAAGACATGCTTGAAGGACAGTTTCCTTCCGACCCTTAAGAAAGGAGTGAAAATAGTAGCACTGCGTTAGGTGTGCAGTTAAACCAACCAGGTATGAAAAGCTGGAGTGCACTTTGCTTTCATGTTTATCCTGCTTTTTGCTCTTTACTGCTCTTCTTATATTGGTCTTTGTATCACCTCTGTAGTAATCAATTATCATGGCATCGTTGGAAGACAAACATGCTTTTCCATGTTGGAAACGGACAGATGGTCAATGCTGAGGAGAGCTGCGTATGCTTACTGGACTGTTAACTCTTATTTAGAGAAACAGGAATTGCTAAATTGTTGTGGTTTCTGGTGGAGGATCATGAACTTGCATTGGAGGCGTTGACTGTGTTGGAGTTGATGTCGTTTTTAGTTACACCAGCTCTAGCTTCTCCACCAAGAATTCAGTCCAGCATGGGAGCACGGCTTCACACATGGATGTAAATCCCATACTTGCGCTGCTGTAATTGGTTTGACAAGATAACACGTTCTTCTACTCAAGACAAACGCTTAAACATTTGAACATGTGTGAAAATGTTCTTGCATCTACTGCGAACAAATAAAATACATGATTCTAGCATTTTTAAAAATGTTTGGTGGAGTAAGGATGGCCATGTAGCATGCCAAAGTACCGTAGAGAAGGGTGAGGGAAGAGGCTGAGAAGAGAAGTAGAGTTCATTCTTGTTTAGAAACTGCCTGCAACTTCTGCACGGGGCTTTCATCAGGGCTGTTAGTGCAATGGGAGCTGCCAGGGGAGCTCACCTTGGCAGCGGGGACTTGATAGGGCTGGGGTATGACCAAAACAAAATACAAATGTCTCTTAATAACCTTTTGATTTATGCTAGGAATGTAATGATTCTATCTTTCTAGCAGCTTTGTTTTGAGGTTCCCATAGCACAATATCCACCTTCGGGAATTTATTTGTTTTGGCGAGGTTGGGGGACACGCACTGAGCAGCCTCCCTTTCTCCACAAGCGTTTTCCACAGCACAGCAAGTCCTGGATCAGTGCCATCGCGGCTGCATCTGTGGTTTGCTGGGACATTGCTTTAGCAGTGAGAGCAGTGAATGAACATCACCTACTGAATCTCTTTGGATAGCTTTTCTATTCCTCAGATGTCTCATTGAACTAGTAATTTGCTATGGTTCAGCTTTTGTGGCTTAGTGTGTCTGGGGGTTGCAGCACTTTCCATGACTTCAGCTTGCAATGCTTCATGGAAGAATTTGGTCTTAGTAACTTCTGTCTCACACGAGGCAACTGAGATATCTTTGCTAGCAGATCAGCGATGGAATTGACAGTAAAGGAAAGCCTTTGGTGTTGCCTGGTGCTGTAGTTTCTGGAAGGTGGAGTCCTGTTTTCACTCTGTGTCTGTGGTTGATGCGATAAGCGTCACCACAGAAGGTGGCAAGACTGAGGCATAACTGAAAATAATTTTAAACTGAGATATAGTAATAAGAGGGTACCTTGTTTTTAAACTGTGATTCCAAATGACTGGTCATTGAGGATTTGCAAATTACATAGATAATTTAACAATATCACAGAATTACACAGAACCACAGAATGATATGTTACTAATCTTTTGCAAAGTAGAGTTGTCACAGAATAGTAGAAGAATTCAGACTGGAGGGGACTTCTGGAGGTTATTGATGGTGCTTTCCCTA